AGGTCTTCTTCCTCCCTCCCCAGACCTCACACCATTCTCACTGCGTCCTCCTCTCTTCGGGGAACACTCCCGAACTTACGAACTTCAAGTGTAGTGCCCGGCCGGCGTGGCTCAGTGATTGAGGCCCGACCTCTGAACCAGGAGGTGACAGTTTGATTCCTGGTCAGGGCACAGGCCCGGGCTGTGGGCTCGATCCCCAGTGGGGGTGGGGGGGGGGCGTGCAGGAGGCAGCCGATCCACGATTCTCTCTCATCATTGATGTTTCTATCTCTCTCTCCCCCTCTCCCTTCCTCTCTGAAATCAATAAAAATATATATATGTTAAAGCCAAATGAACGAACAGCTGGAAGCACCTAAGACAGACAGCACCTGTCATAGGTGTAAACGCACCATAGACGCTTGCTGTTATCCGCAGTGAACGCAGACCAGGCGCACCGGGACCTGCCCAGAGCCTCTGGGACTCGCGCCTCCTCGCCTGGCACTCCGACCGCCCCCAGCAGACGTTCCGGTTGCAGACTGCACGCCCCACCTGGCCTGCATCCACACCAGGCAAACTGGAGGGCGTGCCGGTCCCTGGGCAGTCTCCTCGCCCTCGCTCTTCTCCCTCCTGGGGTCTCTCCTCTCACATCTGGGTCTGATGAGACTCCACCGGCCTCCCAGCCAACCTGGACGCCCCCGTGAACCCCGCCCCAAGGTGTGCGCCCGCCGCTGGTGAATTCCTCCCAGCCCAGGGCTCAGTGCAGGCCCCTCATCCTCCCTCCAAGCTCAGAGCGCCTGGAAGATGATATGCACATTCATCATCGCTCGCTCATCCTCACTGCGCTGACAGCGTCCAGCCCCTGCCCTCGGCTGTGGTAAGACGGAGTTGTGGGGGCTCCGAAACAGCCACCGCTGGGCCAGGGCAGCCAGGCACTTCACGCCCAACAGGAAGGCTCTGCCGTTCCAGAGGCCTCATCCCAGTTCCCACTGGCATCAAACCTCACACTAGGGCCCTGGCCGGTGTGCTCAGTGGTTAGAGCTTCAGCCTGTAGACTGAAGGGTCCCAGGTTCCATTCCCATCAAGAGCACATAACTCGGTTGCAGGCTCGATCCTCAGCCCCAGTGGGGGCACGTGCGGGAGGCCACCCATCGATGGGTCTCTCTCACATCGATGTCTCTCTCTCCGTGTCTCTCCCCCTCCCTTCCACTCTCTCTACAAATCAATGGAAAAATATCCTCTGATGAGCATTTTTTTAAAAACCTCACACTATCGATGGATGGTCTCCCTGCAAGCCTCTCTTTCGGAGGCAGCAGAAATAAATGAGAGGGATGCTGACGTGTAGCCCTACCCTAAAGTGCCAGCATGAAGATCACACCAAAAACGTGGCCCTCGTCCACCGGCCCTAGAAGCAGAAGCCCACTGAGCCGTGCGGTTAGTTGGTTCAGTGTCGTTTTCCGCTGGGCCCACCGTCTGGCAATCCCAAAGGAAGCCATTCGGGCCCCAACTTCAGATTCACCACCTCCAGCACACTAGTCACTGCGGAGCTGGCCATGAGGGCGCATGCACAGTCCCCTGCCCTCAGACGCCCGGGGAGTGCCCAAACCCTGAACTCGCCAAAGGAAAGCCTCAGCAATGCACCATCCCAACAGCCACCCGGTAAACACTGAGGCAGGGCCTTCTCCAGGTACACAGGTCGGGAACAGGCACCTATTCCTGGCTCGGCCCAGGAGCCCAGCTGCAACCTGACACCAGGCCTCAGCCCTTCACTGCAGCACGGGGGCATATTCACCGGCTCCTTCATGCCCACCCTCACCCAGCCTCACGGAGCACCTGCTCCCGCCCCTCTGCCTCAGGGAGACGTCCCCGACACCAGGTCCGAGCATCCCAAATGCGCATTTGTGTTCCCTCAGATCACAGACCGGCTCCTGAAGGTCGAGGACACCCTCTTGGGATGCCAGGCGGTGCCCACAGATCCTTGGGCAGAGCTGCCCAACTCCCTCTCAACAGGAAAGTCCTAGGAAGCTAGCTAGAGTGACCACGGTTCACTGAATGACTCTCACCTCATGCCCATGTAGGTACGACAGCAGGAAAGTAAAAGGACGTGTTTCAGTTGGAATAGATTAGACGACAGATTAT